TATTGACATTTCTCTACTCTATGGAGATATAAATCACAGATTGTTTGTGTTTATTGATGAGCAATCCTAATCTTCAAATCTTAACCTTTGGCGCTGACAAAGTGGGTGCAGAGTGACTTTTTCAGGCGGCCAGGTCCAGCAGCGATGGCCTTTCTCGGCAGCCAAATCCAACTCCATGGGGCTTTCAATCACGTCAGAGGAGGAATTCTCTGCTCTCCAAAGCACACAACGCTGTTAGTATAACGCCATATCAGCATGCATAGGATTAAATTATTAACTATACATTCGTTCCTCTCATGCATTAGTAAAAAAACAACAACACTACTCTAATTCAGACGCACTTGCCCTTTGTGTGCAATAAATGTGACTTATAATCAAATATACATTTCTTTCTAGATGTATTTTTATACTAGATTTGAGGACAAAAATATTTCAGGGCAAGAAATGTTCAGGAATGTTCTTCATTTTCACTTCGGAATGCTTAGACATGGTAAATTAGAAGAGAAAAACACTTTCTGTAATCCAGTAGGTTCTGCTTTTTGTCAATTGTCTGTCAGGGACACTAGAATTCAAATGATTGGCTGACGTCGTCACAAGAAAGCTCACAGTCACACGCCCTTCACTGGTGACTTGAATTGAATTTAAGTAGATATTACGGTGACAGTGTTGAGATCTGAGCAGAGGTGTAACAAGAGAAGGTTAAAAAAACAAGTTGTGCAGCAGCAAAGATGCGCTCAAGGGCAAATGCTAGAGCACAGATGAAGGCTTTGGGTTGGCGAAGGGCTTTATTTTCATTATGTTATAGAGTATAAAGCAACAGGGCTGCATTTTTGTCATATTGAGGTCCATAAAGGAGAACTTGGCGTCAAGGATGACACCAAACCTTGCATGCCATCATAAAATCTGGTGCACATTGTTTAATCTGACCTAGAATTTAGACATCTGACAGAAATGTACAAAGACTAACCACATTGTTTGTGACAATGGAAGGTGGAATTTTCTGAGGCAAAAAACCCTGTTGTTAATCTATCCCAACTGTCAGATTTTTGGAGAGTATGTGAAATAAATCTGATATCATGTTTAATTATTTATTTTTGAAAAAGGTGCCAATAATGTAAAATACTAAATCAAAGATTCTATGTAAATTTGTGTATATTGACAGTTTGGTTGAATCATTAAATAATGAGAGACAAATCCAATAACAGAATCCAGGTCAAAGAGACACATCTGAATATTGTATTACATTTTGAAGCAATGCCATAATAGTAATAGACAATGACTTATTCAGACCGATTTTACCCAACAGGCCTATAGGATATAATGAAAGCTTAAGTTTCTGCAATTTACATCTGATTCACTAAATTATTAAATAATAACTCAAGATTATTAAGAGCATAACCATTCAATAAATGTGTTGAGATCTGTGGTCAAGAGGGAAATTAAGTGTGCGTATCTTACCCTATACATTATCGATAAGAAAAAGAAAGATGTCTAAAATGTGGTTTAAAATAAATTATATAGATTAAAGTCTTTGCGATAATAGCCTCAATTCCCTTCAATGTTTAAATGAAAATGGCACAAAATCTTTTTTTTTTTTTTTACTTACAATGATGAATGTAAAATATACTAAAAATTATATATTAGAAACATAACTTTCTTCAGTGTGTTAGATCTTTTAATTCTCCACACGGTTGTAAAGACAACACTGAATACATGATTGAAAATGCATACTGACTTTGGAAAAAGTAACAAAAGCTTGCACGCTACAAACTTTGTAAACAGTGTCTACAAGGCCATCTGAAGCTGAGACTAATTGACACCAAGTGCTTTGACAAAGCTGGAGGCCACAGTGGTTTGACCTTCAACTCAAAGATCTGGTGAGAGAGGTCTTGTTCGGAAGAAATAGGAGTTCAGTCCAATCACCATTAAGCTTGAGGATACAGTAAACATCTAGTTTGAAATGTCAGAGAGTTATATGCAGTAAACAAATGAAGAGAGATGCCCAAATGAGCGAGAGATGTGACAAAGCAGTAGATGTGATTGGAAGACCCTTCTAGATGGTGAGAAGAGTAGGACTCCAAGCACTCATCCCTGAGAAACCCAGTGGTGAAGCTCCAGGAGGGTCGTGAGAAGAGCGAATCTTTCTGCTGACTTAGTAAAACTAATTGCCCAAGATGACGACACTCACTCAGAAAAATGCACAAGTTGGATTCAGCAGAGTCCTCTTGAATTCAAAGGAGGTGGTGGCTAGGAGGAATGAAAATGGGTAAAAGATAAATGGCCAGACATTTGGAAGTGGGGCAGGTTTGATTTATTTCAGTTTCTTAAAGACAAGATTGAGTTTCTTTCTTCCAAATGTTCCAGGGCAAATATGGTCTGTTCGGTCTGCTGGGCGCACTGACTTTACATCGGAATTTTTGCCCAAATGATTGTGAGATAAAATGAGATGTAGTTTCTCGATGTGAAAAATACTGAGAAGTAAGATCAGAGAGGATTTGGGAAATTTGGGAATTTCCATCATGATACGATAAGGAAAACAAATCAATTGTCTAGTGGTTAGAGCTCATGTTCTGACTCGGTTGAAAAATAGTTCAATCGGAAAACACAGCATACCTTAACACCAAACTTGAAGACTTGTTCTGGAGACCATTCGAGACCACATAAACATGGCCTTTATGGGTCTCAAAACTTCAAGCCTCGGACTGAATCTTGGTTTTGGCTTATGGACCACAGAGACTCTGCCAAAGCTTCATGACTCTGAAAAAAACTGAAATATTAACTATAGTCAAAAAAAGAAGACATTTCATAGCGAGCCAGGAATACAGCTGTGATGGATGGTCATGGCCAGTAAATAATGCTATGTCAGCTTCTTCACTAGCCATTCTGTTCAGTTCTGTTGTTTTTATGTAGCTAGGCATTTTAGCCACATAAGCATTTTGTAAAAATGGGATTCTGTTGTATCTGTACAGCTCAGCATTTGAAAAGATGTTGCAACACATTCAGCATTTTTTCCTGGTTCTTTGATTGGATCTTGATTCCAACTCTTCTTGTCATCACGAGGACAAGAAACTGCACACAGACTTTCTTGTGTATATTGTGATATCAACAGGTCTGAATGTGAACAAGGTTCATATAATGACGAATGCAACAGGAAATTGATGACAGAAAGCAAACTCAACTTTGATCTGTTCCGTAAACAAAGCTATCGTATGGTATTAAGTTTTTTTTTGCACCGTTTGGAGCTTGACAAATGAGTCATTCTTTTAATTATATGGAAAAGAGCAGCCCAGATATTCAAATTTCATGTTGCATGGAAAAAAAAAAAAGTTGCCATCATGAGGATAGGTGATAAAATATTAACCTTTGGGTGGACTTTTCCTTTTGGCTGTGGTGTTCATGTGGGTAATGGGGTTAAATTCCTGGATGATTTTCTGGTCCCAAAGCAGCAAAAAGGCCACAAATAAAAATACATCATCTCAGCCTGAGCCAAGGATAGGTCAGAGAACGTGTTTGCAGATGAAGTGTCACAGATTGTGGTGTCTTCAGGGCTTATCCAACTCAAAGGCACCCAAAAAGAGACATTGTTTTGGCATAGAACAATACAACATTACTCACAGTGGATTATCAGCTCCAAAGACCTTCAGGAGATATAAATAAAAGCGTTAGAGGATAGATGAAGTTTGACAGGTATCTTTAGCATTGGATAGTTCTTGAAGCAGACTGTATTATGGATGGGAATCATCCGACCTCAAAGTAGTGACAACATACTCTATTGTCTCTTTCTGTCAAAGCTCTTGCTTACTCGGATGCACTTCATAAAACTGACGTTTATGATGCCTTCATTTCTGAATGATTGCATTTATGATACACAATGTCATAATTACCAGTGGGAAAGCCGTGTTTTTTTGTTGTTGCATCGAGTCTTTTAAAGAATCGTGATGCAAGGTAATGTGGTATCACAATTGAAGGGGTAATTCACTGCTAACAAGATAGACTTTTAATAAAACTTGGCTGTCAATGCGGTTGAAATGTAAAAAAAAAAATTATAATAAAATAAAAAAATGAAATCAGTGCCATGGATGGACAAAACATGGAAGTTTGATATGTAGTTTTAACAAAAGCCATGGAGTTTTATTTGTCAGCAACAATCCGCCATATGACAAAATTATGCATTTTCAGTCAGAAAATGGTGACAAATAAATGGTGATATCTGGATGCAGGTAAGAGAGAAAAAGCACACCTTCTTCATTTACATATGCTACTGTCATTGCAACAATACAAAGCTGGTTGAAAAATCAGTGAACTAAAAGCATTGATTACAGCAGGGGTGCCCAAACTCGGTCCTGGAGGGCCGGTGTCCTGCAGAGTTTTGCTCCAACCCCAATTAAACACACCTGAACCAGCTAATCAAGCTCTTACTAGACATACTAAAAACTTTGTGGCAGGTGTGTTGAGGCAAGTTGGATCTAAACTCTGCAGGACACTGGCCCTCCAGGACTGAGTTTGGGCACCCCTGGATTAGAGACAAAAAAAAAAAACCCTGCCCAACCCATCATTCCCCCTCCCCCGTTACAACTAAGCTCATAACAGAAAATTTAGCTTAAAATATTGCTTAAAATAATTCAATGATTTTTAAATATTTAATGCAATTCTAATCCATTTTAAAACTGATATTTAACTTTTAATTTAGTGATTTAATGCTTTTGCATTTTCTCCATAATTTCAACCCCGACTACTGTCATGGATATTAATAATTCTGAACTTCCCTTTGAATTGACCATGTAGTCTATTCAGTGCAGCTGATATGCAAATTTGATTGACCACACAAACATCATAAAGGTGAACTTAAATAACATTTACTTGTCCAAATGTCACAAAAACAGAGCTGTACAAAAGGAAAGAGTGATTGGTGATGAAGAGGTCATTTACCACATCTGAAAAGTTTAGTTCATTTCACAGCAGCAGCAGCTCTTCCCGCATATAATCGCACATGAAAAAAATCATTTACAAGATACTGCACTGTGCATTTTCACTCAGATGGATACAAAATACAGAGCAGCATATTTGATACCATTACAGACTAGAAGAAATATAAGAACACGAGTTCGAGACTCCAGAGAAGAAATATAATCAAACTCAAGCATGTACACCGCAAATAAACAAACTTGAATGAAGTTGAGGCTCACAGTGCGGAGAGATTACAGTAAACACTGCCGTTTTTAGGCACACGAGTAACTCCAGGTTCCATCGTAAGCCACGGTACAAGTCCGAGGTAATGCGTTATCACAAATCAAAATGCCAACCAGATTAATAAATCACACACACACAGACCAAGTACTCAAATCATACGTCAATTACATTCCAGTCTGTAGAAGCTTCTTCCCCTCTGGGGGCGCAGCAGTTCAAACCAGAGGGGAAAAGGTAGTCACAGTTACAACGGTAAAAGTAAATGACACGCTAAGGCACAGGTCCAGCCTGCTTCAGACTGTTGGCTCTGGTTTTTAAAAGAAAAGGGGAAAAAAAATGGAGCAGTGCCAACTAAAATTCTAACTGGCTCCCTCTGCTGGTCTGCAGAGGAAAGGCACCATACGGAAGACGCGAGGAGTTAGTGTGTGCGGAAATACAGAAGCGACAGCAGGCATACTGTGCTTTCAGCAGTACTCTGAGCCTGATGAGGGGAAAACGGCAGCCCATACTCCATCTCCGACCAGCTGGGGCTTCACAACGTGACGGCAGAGACGCTAACGCTTTGCAACAGCAAAACTGTGCAGGTTGAACGAGGTCAAAGAGAGGCGTGAAAGCAGGCAGAAAACAAGAACGAGCGTGAACGAGACTGGTGCGTAAAGGACAGATTCAGGAGGATGAATATACATGATCCGTATCCTCCAAGTGCAACGCTGAAAAATCAGCTCAGAAAACCCTGACTCTGTAAAAATGGGATGTAAAGTTGGGAAGTTGTGCAACACATACGTGGTGGTGGGAGAAAAAAAAACATTGAGCTAATTCGAACACTAACCCAGCATCAGAGCTTCCCATAAAGACAAGACATGTGACTCACTGAAGAAAAAAGACATCTACTGTATCCGTTGCACAGATACATGATTTTCAAGCATGTAAGGCTTGGCACTTGTACGTGAGAGGAAGCGTTTGTAGCGGAGGAGCCTTTCTGGACAACTGAATAACTATATACACACGACTAACGAAGCACAGCAGAAAAAGGCTATCGTCCTGCTTAAATGATTCAAATTAAAATGAAAAACAAACAAAAAAAAAAAATCTACAAAATAGAACTACTCAGATGAACATGGCAGGAAACCATTTTCTTTCATTGTGGTGTCTCTTGCATCTTTGGGTTTAAAAAAAGAATTTAAATTAAAAAAATTAAAAAAGGCAAAATAAAAATAAAACTATTTACATACACATTGAAATCATATACACAAACTTCAAATCATCTGAGCTTCAGGGTCCTTTCACTGGTGTGAACTCAATGACGGTTCATTGCTCTTTCACCCTCACACACAAAAACACACTTAGAGATGCTATTAAAGTAGCGATCCCTTTAGAGAGCTGTTGGTTTAGAGGAAGCCATCGAGTGCCGGTCAAAAGATGCACTTGCGTTTCAGGTAGGAGTCAGCGTAGTGCCCGCCGAGACCCTGAGAGTGCTGACCTACATATCCACCCTCTGGACTGGGCTCTGGAGACGGGATGAGACAGGAGAACAGACGCTTCTGCCCACTGACGGGAGTCTAAACATGGACAGAAAATCAAAATGAATCGAAGAGCTGCACTAAGAATAACTGTTGAAAGGTTCCTGGAACACATATACGATAATTGACAAGGAGCAAATATAGATGCTAGACATCAGGGCTGAAGATGGCGTACCTTCATACCAGCACCAGGTGCAGCAGAAAATAAGCTGGAATGAGTCACTGGAGGCATTCCAACAGCCTGAAGAAACACAAAAGCACTTATTAAACTTTCTGGGACAGGTTACATATGTTCCGGCCATCTATGCAAATAAAAAAAAAATTGTAATAAAGATTAATATTATGCAATGATGTGATGAGGATGTCATACTACAGATAAGTTCTGAAAATGGATTTCAGAGCTTTTGAAAATGGATCCAGAGAAGTGAATTAATGAATTTATGAATTGAATTAATACATTTGGTAATCTTTAGGCATGCCATGATCCATTATATAAGTAGGCTACTTTTGGAAAATAATTACAAATAAATCAAAACTACTGCATGTTAAGAATTATAACAAGCTAAGTATTTAGCTTCAAAACATACAAGCAAATATAAAGCAAAAAAAGGGGGACAAAGAAACATTACAATCGATAAACAAAAAGTACTTTCAGTCTCTGTGAGAATCCTTTAAGTATCTTCCTAGACAGGTGCAGCTCTAATACGCTGCATTCATTTCACACACTAATGCACAGATCTATTTCGACATGTCAACTGACAGCTGAAGTCTATCTACACCGAACGCAACAAAGCGACCGTTGCAAATCATTCGAACTTCATCAATAGAACGAGGCATCAGTTTACAGTCGGGATTTGTCGTGGCGCGTCGCATCCAGTGAAGACAGCATCACTGATTATAATAGGATCTATTGTATTTTGTATCGGCGGCAGTCGTGGCCTAATGGTTAGAGAGTCGGACTTGTATCTTGTAACCCAAAGTCGCGGGTTCGAGTCTCGGAACCGGCAGGGATTGTAGATGGGAGTGAATGACCAGCACCCTCTTCCACCCTCAATACCACGACTGAGGTGAGACCCTTGAGCAAGGCGAGTGGAGTTGCAAGTGCATTTAAAGGGATAGTTCACCCAAAAATGAAACTTTTATGTTTATCTGCTTACCCCCAGGGCATCCAAGATGTAGGTGACTTTGGTTCTTCAGTAGAACACAAATGGAGATTTTTAACTCAAACCGTTGCAGTCTGTCACTCCTATAATGTCAGTGGATGGAAATCATGGCTTTGAAAGTCATAAAACATACACAACCAAAACCAAATTAAACCCTGCGGCTCATGACGATACATTGATGTGTAAAGACACGAAACGATCGGTCTGTGCAAGAAACTGAACA